TACTAGGGAAAACATTGCTCTAAGCAATTTCTAAATAAAGATGGGGGACAAATTTAACTTTTGAGTATCCAGTAAGTACCACATACGTATTTGGAGTAGATTTTTAAAAATCCAGGCTCCATTAATAAGAGGGAAGAAGCCCAACTACCTCTCTTAAGAAATGGACTTAGAAATTCAACTTCACGATGATGAAATATGTATAGGTTTACCTTACATGTTATGGTAACTGGCATGTGCATGATCTATACTTTCTCTCTTATCTTTCTAAACAAGGAGTAAAGGCTAACTCCTGCTTTACATTCCGAAAACTACTTTGTTGTGGACCGCTCTGCCTGGTTCTAGGAATTGTAACTCTACCCCCTGTGGCTAAGGCAGAGTCAGTGACCTCTGGAATTTGAGAGCCGCAGGAGACAAAGCTTGTCTCTGGTAGCAAATGCTGCCTTAGTTTCCTCCCTGCCTCCAAAACATGGTCGAAAGTCCTTGGCAGGTATGACCCCTCAGAGGAGGGGTCACATTTTACTCTATTGTCACCTTTTACTCTATTTTAATTACATACCACTAGAACTTGTGGCCTATGATTTCAACTCTCATTTTTTTTTCAACTATCATTTTAGTATAAGCAAAATTGAGTATTTGTATATAATAAATATTTTATTCTATATTGTACTGCCAGACTAAAAACTTAATGAGAATCTTTTTTGCCTTAACGCTTAATGTGTTGAATTCATGTAGATACCTAATAAGTGTTCATTTATGACTATGCAATATTCTACAGGTTCTTAGCTTAACCTCAAGAATTATTATTAGAAGAAAGTTTGCATTTACTTAAACTTAATTTTATTCTTTACAAATGGGTAGAGTTACCAAGTAGGAAGACAAATTGAAAGGAAAAACCTGAAACAAATTAAGACATATTTGAGAGAGGAGAAATTCAAGTTATGATTGGAAAATGGGAATAAATTTAAAAAATGGATTAAAAGGAGAATATTTTTCAATATTGTATATTTTGATGCATTTAACTTATATTTTTAGTAAAAATTTATACAAACCCCCAGTAGATTTAATTCAGGTAGTATATTGACAATTGATATAACATTGATAATTGATATGACATTGATAATTTAAAAGTTAATTGGGGAAAGCTTCTGGTCAAGATGGTGGCGTAGATAAACAGGACACTCGAATCCTCCCACAACCACATCAAAAATACAACCAAACCACAGAACAACCGTCAGTCAGAGCTGCCTGAAATCTAGCTGAATGAAGTCCTACAACTAAGGATATAAAGCAGAAGTCACACTGAAACTTCTTGGTAGGAGGGGCAAAGATGTGGAAGAGGTTGGTCCCACACCCGCATGTGGCAGATAAAAACTGAGTTGTATCAGCTGTGAAGGTCTCCCTGAGGAGTGAGGGGTCCCAGCATTACAACAGCACCCGCCCACCCCAGGTTCTATACCAGAAAGAGAAGTTCCCATAATTTCTGGCTGTGAAAAGCAGTGGAGATTGTGGTTGAGTGAGATGGAGGGCTTCTAAGGACCCAGGCAGTTCCTCTCAAAGGGCCCACACAGGCTTACTTAGACTCACTGGAGACTCACTCCCTCTGAGCTCCAGCACTGGGCAGCAGCTCAAAAGGCACAAGGGACATACAGGAGGATCTGAATTGTCTGGCATCGGGGTAAGAGCTGGGGGGACAGCTTTCTTCCAGACACAAGGACTGGCAGAGGCCACTGTTACTGTTCTTTGCCCTTCCCCCCACCAGAGCCAGCAGGCAGATACCATATCTGAGACTCCATCAACCTGGCAATCATCATTTGCCCCATCCTGGTGATTCCATGAGACTGCCACCCCACCAACTTGCAGGCCCACACAACCTATTTCCAGTGGCTTTTGCATGTGAATGGTCTTTCTTGACTCGTGCTTCAGAACTTTCTAAAATCTCTCAAGTAGTATCTGGCTTCAGTATTCCCTGTACCTCTTGCTAAGTATCCCCAGGCACAACACTAGTGGCAGCCTGGCCTGATTCACAGTTTGGACTCTTCTGGTCACCTCCAAGCCCTTCACAAATAGTGGCCATCTGCAGATCGATTTGCAGCTTGTGCCAGCGGCTCTGGGCAGAACACAGGGGGTGGCTGACCTTGGTCTGCCTCTTCTAGGAGGCCCCAGAGCCAGCCAACCTAGTGGACAGCTTCAGACAATGTTAAAGTACCACCCAACCACCTCTGCAAATGATACACTCAGTAGGGACAGAGACCCACAGAATTAAGTCCTACTCTGTGGAGTGGGCCCCTGCACATCTGATTCTCCATGGTGGTTATAGACAGTCTTTGCAGTCAATTTACCTGGGGTAAACCCCTCCCATTGATGTGCCAACAGCAATCAAGGCTTGCCTACAAACAGGAAGATTTACTCAGCCTATTCCAGGGGGACATGCATCTGGAGTGTCCAGCTCAGTTGAACAGGGAGGATGTGCCACTGGATCCTACAAGGCATCTACTATATTAGGCCACTCTACTGAGCCCAAGAGAGATATTGGCTCTACCTAATATGCAGACGCAAACACAGGGAGGCTGCCAAAATGAGGAGAAAAACAAACATGTCCAAATGAATGAATAGAACAAAACTCTGGAAGAACTAAATAAAATGGACTCAAGCAACCTACTAGATGTAGAGTTAAAAAACTTATTACATTATGCTCAATGAACTTCGGGGAAGAGTACATAGAGAGAACTTCAACATTAAAAAAGGACATAGAAAACATAAAAGGGCCATTTAGAAATGCAGAATACAATAACTAAAATGAAGAATAATTTACAGGGAATCACAGTAGAGTAGATGAAGCCAAGAATAAAAAAAGCAATTTGGAATATAAGGAAGGGAAAAAAACCCAATCAGAACAGCAAAAAGAAAAATCCCAAAAAATGAAGACAGTGTAAGGAGCCTCTGGGACACCTTCAAGTGTACCAACATTCACATCATGTGGGTGCCACAAGGAGAAGAGAGAAAGCAAGAAGTTGGAAACCTATTTAAAAAATATAGTGGAAAGCTTCTCTAACCTGGTGAAGGAAATAGACATACAAGTCCAGGAAGCACAGAGAGTCCCTAGCAAGATGAACCCCAAAAGGCCCACACCAAGACACATCATAATTAAATGTAAAAGATTAATAACAAAGAGAATCTTAAAAAGCAGCAACAGAAATGTTAGTTACCTGTAAAGGAGCTCCCATAAGACTGTCAGCTGATATCTCAACAGAAGCTTTACAGGCCAGAAGAGTTAACAAGAAATATTCAGAGTAATGAAAAGCAAGAACCTACAACCAAGATTACTCTACCTAGGAAAGCTATCATTAAGAATTGGAAGACATATAGCCCTAGCTGGTGTGGCTCAGTAGATTGAGTGCCAGCATGCGAATCAAAGGGTCACTGGTTTGATTCCCAGTCTAGGGCACATGCCTGGGTTGCAGGCCAGTTCCCCAGTAGTGGGGTGCACAAGAGGCAGCCACACATTGAAGATTCTCTCCCTCCCTTTCTCCTTCCCTTCTCGTCTTAAAAAAAAAAAAAAAAAGAATTGGAAGATATGTATATAAAGAGCTTCCCAGAAAAGAAAAAGGAGTTCATCATCACCAAATCAGTATTACATGAAATGTTGAAGGGTCATCACCACCAAGTCAGTATCACATGAAATGTGAAGGAAAAAAAGGAGGAGGGGGAGAGGGAGAAGGAGGGAGAAGAAAAAAGAAAGATATGAATAATAAAATGTCATAAATACATATCTATCAACAATTGAATCTAAAAAACAAAATGAACAAGCAGAACAGAAAAAGGCTCATAGATAGAACATTATGATGGTTGCCAGATGGGAGGGGATTACAGGGTTGGATGGAAAAAAGGAAAGGGACTAAGAAGTACACATTGGTAGTAGGAGAATAATCATGGGGATGTGATTACAGCATAGGGAATAGAATCAATAATATTCTAATATCTGTGTGGTGTCAGATGGGTATGAGATTTATTGGCATGATCACTTAGTATGTTATATAATGTCTAATCATTGGGGTGTACACCTGAAACTAATACAATATTTTATGCCAACTCTAATTGAACAATCAAAAATTATTTTTAAAACAAGTTGATTGGGCTTCAAAAAAAAAGGCCCAAAAGTTAGCCACTCAAAAGGCCTTAGTCACTACTTAAAAAAACAAACTGCACAGAGTATAACATGGCATTTTAAAAATTGAAGTACACCAAATAAAGAAATATTTTTTAAAAGCTCAAGCAAATACAGGAATCTGGAAACATTTTTCTGTTCAAGCCAGCTGAAGAAAAGAACACAGGAAAATCATAAAGTAAAGAGCATTTATTTTCAGTGTGCCTCTTTGTTTTATGTAGTTTAAAGTCCAGTGGAGTGTGCAAAAAGCTGATTCATACAGTAGAAAAATAGAAAAAGAAGCTGTTGGCATTTCTGATTTTATTGAATAACTGCAAAACTGGCCGTGAAGGGGAAGAAAAAACTCAAGGAAATGGGTAATTGAAATACATGATAAGACAATTATTAAAAGCTAGATGGAGTGGGTGTAGAGTCAAATTTAAGGCCTCTCATTTTAGAAAAATCAGGTGGAGAAAATTATCTCAAGAGATTGCCAAACATAAGGCATGCTGAAGAAGCTTTGATTTCTCTGAAGATGAACTTGTCTCTGATGAAGACTTGAATAGAGAACAGAGTAGAAAATAAGCATATTGTCTCACCTCTCAGTTTCTGCCAAGGAGAGGTGGAGATAGGGATTATTCATGAAAAAATTTTAATGATGAAATTTTAAAACACTTTTAGACTTTTAGAACTGAACCATAGAAAGTATACATTGGCTACCCACCCTGAGGCGATGTTGGACATAAAAGTGTTTGTGGTACTAGGACTCTTTGGAGGTACAGTTGGTTCTAGGTGAAGATGTATAAGATGAGTCCAGAGCATCATGTAGCTCCAGAAAATAAGACAGTGTTCAACAGTGCTCACTTCCACAGCACATACACTAAAATTGGAACGATACAGACAAGATTAGCATGGCCCTGCACATGGATGACATGCAAATTCACGAAGCGTTCCATATTTTTAAGCATTATGCTGAGTGAAATAAGCCAGGTGGGGAGGGACAAATACCATATGATCTCACCTTTAACTGGAACCTGATCAGCAAGAGAAAAAAGCAAGCAAAATATAAACAGAGACATTGAAATTAAGAACAATCTGACAGTAACCAGAGAGGAGGTGAAAGGGGATAATGGGGGGAAGGTGGAAAGGGTTTTCAGGAACAACTATAAAGGACACGTGGACACAACCAAAGAGGGGTGGAATCAAGGTAAGAAGGAGGGTTTGGCTGGGGTTGGTGGGGAGTGGTGGAGAGTAAATGCAGACAACTGTAATTGAACAACAATAAAATGATTTTTAAAAAAGAAAGTGTTCAACACACACACAGTGATGGAGATAGAGCAAAGGAACATGGGAGTCAACTGAAAGAGCTCCAAATGGTCACAGCTGGAACATAATTTTAAGCAACAAAATTAAAACAGTTATTTTGGACTGTAACCCAAAGTATAAAATAAATATCTATGAGTAAATAAATGATTGAATAAATAAAGAAATGGGCAAGAATGGAGCTTTCCTATGTAGAAGATTCCAGACAAATTACGTAGATAGATATTCCACCCCTGAGGGCACAAGCATAGATTCCAATGGGTTAAGTGTGGGCTGCACACAGTGACTTTCTTCCAAATAGTACCAAATGGAAATGGGCAAGAGAGCAACATTCTAGTGGAGAATCCTCAGCCCGGCAGGCAGGTCAACATCAGCATTAATGATAATGTGGATAGTCTGTACCTTTGACATGATGTGATAAAAATGGCCATGGACCTGAGTGGCCTTCCTCTAAAACCCAGTAACTCCAGTATAATCGTGAGAAGAACATTAGATAAATTCCAACAGAGACATTCTATAAAATATTTAACCAGTATTCACCAAAACTTTCAAAGTCATCAAAAACAAGGAAAATCTAAGAAACGGTCACAGCCAAGAGGAGCTTAGGGACACAGGGTTACTAAATGTGCTCTAACACCCTGCGTAGAATCCTGGGACAGAAAAAGGGCATCAGCTAAAAGCCAGGGAGAGTTGAATGAAGTGTGAACTTTAGTTAGTAATATTGTGTCAACACTAGTTTTTTAATTGTAACAAATATACCACACTAATGCTAATAACAGAAGAAATTGATTGAGGAGTATATGGTAATTCCTTATGCTGTCTTCACAACTTTTCTGTAAGCTTAAAACTATTCTAAAATAAAATTAAATTAAACATTAAGAAAGTATTTCTGTTGAATGCGGGTACCTGAAGACACTGGCTAAAAAATTGTAACAGAGATGTGATATTTGATAGCCAAGCTTTGTGATGCGAAACTTTTTCCTATAAGTGGATAAGCTTGGATAAAATACCTTGTTTTTCAAATAGTTAAAACACTTTTATGTAAACTCAGCACAACTCGACCCCCCCCCACACAAAAAAGGTAAAGAAAGGCAGTTGGGTCCACAGGTGCAAAAACACTAATATGTAATTTTATTTCTAAAAAGTTAAAAACATGAAATTAATGGGAAATTAAAAAATTAGTGTTAGAAGTTGGAATGGTAATTATCTTTGGGGACATGACTAGGAGGTGCTTCAGGATGTGGACTGCTTTTCTCCTGGACTTGGGTGCTGGTTGCTGCACTGTTTGTTCACTTTATGAAAACTCATTGGGCTGTAAGCTTTTGTGTGCTTATTTTCTCTCTGACATTTATTTAATGGACTGTGAATGATTTCTGAATAATAAACACTTCCACAGTGGGAGACACGGTAGTACTGTGTTTTTGTTAGAAATGTATGTTCTCTATTTATTCACTTACTTCACAAGTATTTATTAAACACCTAGGACTGACTTGTCTCTAGTACCATAGATTTTTATGGGAAACAGACCTATGAAGAAGCAATAATTTTTTCATGATAATTGCTATAATGGTTATGTCTGCCAATACAATGGAATCCTAGAGATGTTCTTTGGTCTGTCAGAGGAAGTCGGAGACTGCTCTCAGTGAGGAGGGGCGTGCGTGCTGATACACGTAGAAAGAGTGCACATTTGCCTGAGCGGAAGTGGGTGTTGCTATGGGGAACAAGGTATGATGAGGAGAGAATTCTAGGCAGAGGCAACAGCCTGAGAAAGTCACAGGGGCAGGATGGGTTTAGGAAAACTCTTACTGTTTGGGAGAGTGATGTAAAGTGGTAGGAGCTGAGAGTTATTGGCTAACTCTTTGTGCCCCACCCCGGCTTGAAAGTAAAAGTTCTAACCCCCAATGTGATGGTATTTGGAGACAGGCCTCTGGGAGGGTTGGATCCTTAGGATAGGATTGGTGCCCTTATCAGAAGAGACCAGAGAGCACTCTCTCTTGGCACCATGTGAGGACAAAGTGAGAAGACGGGTGACTGCAAGCCAAGAAGAGGGTCCTCACCAGACACCAAATCTGTCTGCCCCCTGATATTGGACTTCACAGCCTCTTGAATTATGAGAAATAAACATTTGTTGTTAAAGTCACCCAGTCTACAGAATTTTGTAATAGCCCTCAGAACTGACTAAGACACTGAGGCAGTAGAGGAAGACAGGAGCCAGGTCTGAAAGGCCATGCGTATCATGCAGAAGGAAAGACTTTATCCAGGAGATGACAAGCTTTAAGCAGTGAATAATAGTATAGGAAATATTATTAGAAAGGTAACTCCAAGGCACTGTAGAGGAACACTGAGAGTGGGCATAGCCAAAATCAGAAAGACCAGTAAAGAAGCTCCCATAAGAGTGCAGGTAGAGACTTGTGAGTGTGGCCAGGGAGCAGCAGACAGAGAAGTTTAAGATGCAGAATTGTCATGTCTTAGTGACTGGTTAGATAAGGAGGGGAACGGGTAGGAGCCCAAGATGTCAGCAGTGCTGCCATTAATGAGGACAGAGAACCCTGATGGAAAGGTGGGAATGTGGAGGGAGATGAGTTCCGTCTGGGACACGTTGAGTTTGGGACATACAGGTAGGGACATGTAGCAGGTAGCTGGAGGGAGTGAGAATGGGGCCCAAAAGAACGATCCGGGCTCTATGAGTTTCTGCAGTGGATATAGAATTAGTAATTCAAACCCAGGGAAGTCTGAGTTTACTTATGAACAGTGCGTAAGTGTGAAAGTCATTATGGATGAAGGTGTGTAAATAAAAGGATTAAAGTGTTAGAAAGTTCCCAGAACGTTGCTGAAATGCTTCACCATGCATGGGTCCAAATTTCTTGAGAAGGAAAGTGTGCCCAAGTGTGGTCATGGGCGGTGGCCAGGAGTCTGAAGGTCCTAGTGAGTGGGAATTATGGGATTTGGAGAAATGGGTGGGCGAGAAAGTGAAGAGAGTGTGAATTTGTGATAGGAGAGCACACTATCAGAGTTTAAGATTTTTAGTCTGGCTTAGTTCTGAGCTACAGATAGAATGTAAGTTTTATGAGGACAGGAGTGTTTACTTTTCTATCTGCACCAGGTAGTGTGAATGTGACATATCAGAGGTACTCAGCAAATGTTTTTGGATGAATGAATGGAACATTTCTGAAATATACTGAAGGAGAAGTTAATGAGTTTCATGAGGCCAAGGAAGTCTGTTGAAATTGTTAGGAAACTTGAACAGGTGACTCCGACTTGTGTGTAGGAGTCCCTGTCTCATGCCTTCCCTTGTGGCAAATGAATTAACAGGTGTATTCAGGAGGTTTCTATTTCCGGGGATATGATCAATTCAGAAAACATTCTTTATGACTTTCTACTTTAGAGGAAATACATTTTTATAATGTATGAATGTCTGCTGAACACATTCTGTTTTGAGGATTCACCAGACTACCATTAAAAAATGTTTGATATGAAATATTTAATATCACCTATAATGTAGTCTACCTAAATGTTTAACTTGAAAATAGCTTTTAGTTCTATCTTTAACTTTATAGGAAATGCAAAGACTAGAAGAACAAGATAAATGACACCATGAAGAAGAAGCAACATGCCCAGAAGATGGGTCATTCTGGACAATTGTCCCAGTTTATTCAAGTCAACGAGGTTTCAAATTTTACAAAGAGGAGACTCTGCCCCTAGCTTTGGATAGTTTGCTGGCATCATTTCAACCTCTGTCTTCTGTTGACATGGCATTCTTCCTGTGTGCGTATCTGTGTCCAAATTTTCCTTCCTAAAAGGACAATTGTCATAATGGAGTAGGGTTCCAGCCTAGTTTGGTATTACCTTAACCAGTTATATTTGCAGTGACCCTATTTCCAAATAAGGTCATATTGTGAGGCACTAGGGGGTTAGGATTTCAACACATGATGTTTTGGGGGAAGGATACAATTCAGCCCAGGACACTTCTCAAGAGAGGAAGAATTATTTCAAAGCATGTAAGCTTTCCTGCACAAGGGAATGAAGGCTACAGTCTACGTGCTGTTTTCTCTCTCATGATAAAATCAAAATATTGTCCTTAACCATGAATAAGTAATGGGGAAAGGATAGTCTCTTTAAGAAATGTGCCGGGAAAACTGGACAGCTCGATGCACAGAAATAAAACTAGAACTCAAAATACCATATGATCTCACCTTTAACAGGAAGCTAAACAACCAAACAAACAAGCAAGCAAAATATAACCAAAGACACTGAAACAGAGAACAGGGGGACAGTGACCAGAGGGGAGAGGGGAGGGAATTTCAGGGGAAAAGGGGAAGGGTTTACAGGAACTAGTATAAAGGACACTTGGACAATAACAAGTGGGGGGTGGAAATGGGAGGGAGGTGGGGAGCACTGGGGGGGTTGGGCTGGGATGGGCGTAAAAGACAGAAAACTGTACTTGAACAACAATTAAAATAAATAAATAAAAACTAGAACTATGTCTTACACCATACACAAAAATCAACCAAACATGGATTAAAGCCCTAAACAAAAGATGTAAAGCCATAGAACCCCTGGAGGAAAATGTAAGGGGCAAGCCCCTTGATGTTGGTATTGGCAATAATTTTTTTATTTGACACCAAAATCAAAAGCAACA